TTATAATATTGTCTTCTACATGAATGATCTGACTTGAGTTCTTGATTCCAGAATATTTTTTTTCTCATTTATTTATTTTTTTCTCATTTTAGATTGGGAAAGTTTTGATTATTGTATCTGGTTTAAAATTAAATGAAAGAATGAAAAATCTATATGGACTCCTATTTATGGAAGTCTCTTTATAGGAAGATGCAATTTACACCTGTCCTGTTAACAGTTAGCATGAAGAAAATATATTTCTGTACTATCATGTTTTTTATATGTCAAATTTTAATCTGTTTTATTTAGTGGTTTTATCTATTTTATTTAGTGGTTTTATTTATCTCCAGAATCTTCTTGGCTTATAAATCTGATACATTGGCAGGAAAGGTCTAAAAGTTGGGAAATGTATTTGAACTTCCTGCCAACACTCTCTCTCCACTGCGATGGATAAGAAGTCTATATACTGACATAGGAACTTGAAATCATTAATGTTTAATCTCCTTCTGTTCCTTAATTAAATCACTAAGCAACACTGTATGACATTAGTTGGCCATTAAGAAGACTGAAATTTTGAATGTCCTTAAAAAGATGTACTGTGTAATCAACCTAAATTTAGGGTCATATGTAGAGGTTATTATTTGTTTTAATTTGAAAATTCATTTGAAAATCACTTTATTTTGCCTGGATCTTTTTTTCTAAGATAGTGATACTTTAGAGCAGTGGTGAGTTGCTCCTGGTTCGGGCCGGTTCGGGCGAGCCAGTAGTGGTGATGATGTGATGTCACCGAACCGGTTCTCTTTGACTGGGAGCTGGGCCCTCCCGCCTGCCCCCATGTTAAACTGACCTTTATTTCTTGTTTTTTAGCCAAGCTGATAGGCGTGGCAGAATGGATTGCCACACGTCAGCCGGGCAGAAGCCTAATGTGCATGGCGATTGTGCATAAAGCACGTGCACGAAGAGAACCGGTTAAGATTCCAAATCTACTTGCAAATCTTTTCTTTACTCAGATCATGGTTGTGGACGCAAGGGGGAGAGGAGACAACACGAACACTATCTCCTTTGCACTTCCATTGCAACGTTGTATGCATGTTCTAAATGGAAAAAACTTGCATTCGGATCTTGCAACATGTCAGACCTTTCAAGGCAGGCCAAACCAAGAAAAAGATATTGCAGGAACTCCTGCAACTTGATTTTATCGTTGTAGGTGTAATAAAAGAAGCTTGGAAACTTGTAGAGTTTTTCTCTCACCCACCTAAACCGGTAATATAGAATGAAGGTTTGATTATTTGACCAGGACTGAGATGTTTACTGTCTGTTATCTGCTTATAGCTTCTCCATTCCTTTGCTAGATTATCTCTGCCTTTCCCTAAACCACATTTTTGTCATTTTAATGAAACTTCTGTACATACCCATGACTTTGATGTCAAGGAGGTCCTTTCTAGTGTTTTGCAACAGCGTAGGTCAAGGTCAATACATCCTTATCTTACCATCTTTTCAGTATCCATCTCAGTTTCTTTTCTTTTCCCAGATGCTAAATCAGAACCACAGAAAATCTCTATCTCCAAGCTTTTTGGAAGCAAGTTTTATAATTAACTAATTGCCTTTTTCTTATAACTTCACAATTAAAAAATGATTTCTATGGTAGTTTGCCTTAAAAGGTCACTGTGATAATTACATCTCAAAATTACAATTAAAAGATTTCTCCCCCATAGGAATTAGGTCTGCAGTAGGCTTGACTAGTTTTGAGGACTTTTAAAATTATAGTTATTACGTTGTGGCTGTGTTCAGAATTAACCAATTACTTTCAAACTTATCGTAAATCATATCAGTATACATCAACCATCAATTAAACTGACTGATCAAGGCTATGTAAAGCTCAGCTACTGTAGTAGGATTTCTCTTACATTTACTCAGCAAAAGCCATAGTCTGCAAAGAGCTTACAAAGCATCAAAGGGATCTCATTGTTGGAAAGTATTATTCAGAATAAGGGTACAAAACAATTTCCAAGGCATTGGATATACCATGGAATACAGTAAAGACAGTCATCAACACGTGGAGAAAAAAATGACACAACAGTGACATTGGCAAGAACTGGATGTTCCTCTAAAATTGATGAAAATACAAAAAGAGAACTGGTCCAGAGACTGCCAAGATGCCTATAGCAACATTAAAGGAGCTGCAGGAATTTCTGTCAAGTACTAGTTGTATACTATATGGGATGACAATATTTCATATTCTTCATATGTCTGGGTTGTGAGGTAGGGTTCTTACAACATCCAAGCCAAGTAACATTTTGCAAAAAACCTACATCAAGTCTGACAAAAACATTGGAAAAAATGTTTTATGTTCTGATGAGACCAAGGGTGACATTTTGGACACAATTCCCAAAAGTATGTTTGGCACAAAACAAAAATGTGCATTACCAAAAGTACACTATATCCACAGTGAAGCATGGTGGTGATAGTATTATGCTTTGTGATTGCTTTTCTTCAGCTAGAACTGCTTTTTAACCAGAGTGGAGGGAATGATCAACAGTTCCAAATATTAATTAATTTTACACAATCTTCAGGCCTTTGTTAATCTGATGAAGATGAAGAGAAATTTCACTTTTCAATACAATAACGACCCAATCAAAGAAAAGAATGACTTCACCAGAAGAAGACCAAAATTTTGGAATGGTCTAGCTAAGTAATGGCAAACTTTTCGGCATCGAGTGCCGAAACAGGACCGCGCACGTGTACATACCAGAAACCGGAAGAGCCGCCGCCAGGTGTGATGCGCGTGCTGGGCGGTTGTTCTTCTGGTTTCTGGCTACCTGGGCTTCCCATTTCTGGTGTGCATGTACGTGCGAACACCAGCTGGCCAGTGTGCATGTGCGTGCCAGAAACCAGAAGTGCAGCCGCCTGGTGCGCATGTGCATGCTGAGAAGATGATCTTCTGTTTTCCTGCATGCACATGTGCACTGGCCAGCTGGTCTTTGCGCATGCATGTGCACCAGAAACTGGAAGACCAGCTGGCCGGTGTGCATGCATGCACTGGAAACCGGAAAAGCAGATACCTGGCACACGCATGCGCACTGGGCGGCTGCTCTTCTGGTTTCTGGTGCTCCTGTCCATGTGAAGACCATCTGGCCAGCGTGCCAGAATCTGGAAGAGCAACAGGCGACGACTCACGTGTCCAGAGAGATGGCTTTGTCTGCCACTTCCGGCACAGGTGTCATAGGTTCGCCATTACGGGTCTAGGCAGAACCAGGATGCAAATCCAATTGCAAATCTGTAAGGTAACCTGTAGAAAGCTGTGCAGAGGACATGCCCTTGCAATCTAACAGATTTAGAGTGCTTTTGCAAGGAAGAGTGGGCAAGGATTCACAAGGCAAGATGTGCCATACTCATAAGCTTCTTCACCAAAAGATTGAATGCCATCATAAAATCAAAAGATCTTTGACAAAATATTAGTTTAAGGGTTATGCAACCATGTTATTGTACACTTTTTATTGTTATTTTCCCCCTAAAAGATTTCAGTTTGTTTTTCAATTAAATTGTACAGCTGATGTTATATTAACAGTATAAAAAATTCTAAAGTAAGTTATCTTGGTCTGGTTTTTTTTTTAACATTTCAAAAACCTGGCATTTTAACAGGAGTATGTAGACTTTTTATATCCACTGTATGGAGCTTTTAGATTTAAAAACTAGCACTTAGAAATATACCTGACAAATCAATGCAAAGCTTTCAGCACTGGTATTATGTGCGAAGCTGAATAAATAAATCTAATAAATAGACTGCAGGTTCTAAGTTGCCTTTAAAGAGCCCCCTAAGAAAGTATATTGTGGTAATGTAATTGGCTGTAAAAATCATTGTTGCTGCTGTTACTTTGTTGTCTTCCTATTGAAGTGGAAGCAGGCTAGCAAACTTACTGATTATGGTAAATAGGCCACTTTCTGAGTGAGAAAACCTGGGATGCTAACACCTTAGTCTTTAGAAAAACAGCCAGGATGTATACATGTCTTCCTAACGCTTACAGTAAATTCTTCCATCCAAATTTCAAGATTGGTTACTCCATCAATATTATGTGTAGAAATGCATGTCCCCAACATGGCAGCATCTTGCCTGAAGTGTAGCATGCAGGTATAACTAAACAAATTAAAAGGTATGTGTGTTGAGAGCAGGGCTGGATTTTCCTATAGAACTAGGCTTCAGCCTAGGGCCTCAAGATCAAGAGGGGCCTCAAGATCAAGAGGGGCCTACATTCAAATTGTTAGCAAAATTAAAATTACACTTTCACTATAGGTGAAAGAGCCTCATAACTGGAATAGCCTAGGGCCTCTTTTCATCTAAATCCGGCCCCGGCCTCCATAAAACTGAGAAGTAGAACGTAATCATTTGAATTATTTCTCACAATGGTAGGTGGATATAATAGGGTTCATATTTACTTAGTAGTAAATTATATATCAATTTTAAAATATATTCAGAATGCATTTAACATTTGTTTGTAAAGAAATAAACATTCCTAGTTAACTTCAAACATATTCATCTTCAGTCCCTTAATGCTATTTTAAAATTGGGACAGTTGAAAAGATATTTGCATACATCACTAAATTTCCAATTACCATATAAATGACAACCGAAAGAAACAGGGGTTCAACGCTCTAGTTTAAAAAAGTGTTGGTTTTAGAAGCTTTTTATCAGATGTGAGACTTTACTTTGAGAATATGTACCCATCATCAGTCTGATGATATGAACAGCAAATAAGCCTGCAATTCTTTCAGGTTGAAATAGCTTTCTTAAAAAAAAAAAAAATGCACAGCAGGAATCCTTTCCCAAGACTAAAATAAATGACAAAGTAAAAGACCAGTCTTCCATAGGCATTTAATGAAGACATGCTTCAAGGGATTTTCTGTAGTAGAGATCATTTTACACCCCAGGACAAAAGAAAAACAGTACAGCTTTGCAGTCAGAAGCTGCAATCAAAGGAGAATAAAGAAAATAACAAAAACATATCGCTTGTTAAATCACTTACAATGGCTTTCCTTTGGATTCACAAATCAAAGTTATAGATAGTCCTTCTTCTGGCCACAGTGTGGAAGGTATTATTTTAACTGAAGGAATATCTGGAAAAATAATATTTATAAAATCAGATTAAAATTGTATATACATTGTACTGTGCAAATTATGAAAGCAACATCAAAATTCACTTCCAGATGAGTTAACCTTAGAATTTATTCAAGCTATGATTCTGAATTCAGGTGGTTGTATGAATCTGTACACTGTACATTTTTAGTATTGAATAGCACAGAATGGCTATATGGGATCTAGATGCCATTACAATACGATAGTAAGATATGCAGAGAAAAATATGGTCTAAAGTAGATTTTACAGAATATCTTACATTCACAAGGCAGGGAGCGATGCAACAGTAAATTTGACCTGATGACAAGTAGGAACATTTGGAAAATTGTACATGGACAGTCCTAGCCTTGTTATGTCAGTTAGAATTATTTCTTGCATCATCTCTCTTCCTATGGAAATTTTGCTGTTTGGTTCAAAACCAGTGGACTTTCATTAGTACATTGTACATGAAATTTCAAAACCACAAATAACAAATATAACATATAGATTAATTGCAGCACTATCTAAAAACTTATCATTGTTATTTTGATTTTGTATTTGATTTTCATTTTTAAAAAATTAGGGATACTTTTTTCACAGCTTCTGAATACTTTCATATGGAAGCACAGCTTTCGTTAGTTCTTTGCACTAATGATTGTAGTAAAATCCACTTCTTGCAATGACCTTGCTTTGACCTGTTTACCAGCTAAAGTACAAAAAACAGTATTTAATTAGCCCATCAGTTTATGTTCTTGTACACATGACTGGCTTTATTAGAGAAATCTATAACCAAAATGCCTAATGCCGGTCACTCAGTAATATCTGCTCCATCCATTCCTAGTAGCCCTTTCATGCATATTTTATTCATGCCTGAAAAGGGCTTGATGCTTGAACGTAGCACTTGCATTTTAATTATGTAAAGGCTTGGCAGTGGAAAATAGTGAAATCTTAGATTAGAATCTAAGAGAATATACTGAAAATATTCTTTTTCAGTAGGCTAATAGTGCTCAGTACATTTTTGAGAATATGAAAAGAGTAAAGAGAAATTGTTCATCAAATGCAAACATATTAAATAAACAATTTGTAAAGAAATTTAGATGAATTGTATTTTTGTTATGCAGTGTGGAAAAAGAATGAAACCTATGCAGAAGCAAGGCATCCAACACTACATTCATATCTTCTTATCTTTTCTTTCTTAATCTATATCTGACACCATCACAGATTATATGGACTTTCTATAGAAGGCCTAACAGGATTGGCTTTGCGTTAGGCAAAATATGATAAAGTCCTAAGCTTCAGGGAATGGGAGAAAAATATCTAATCATTCTTATCTTTCTGAGTGGATAACTTTATGTTGATAGTTGAACTAGATGAATGGCCTGTTAATCAAATCATGTTATACAAATGCATTGCAAACAATACCCTTAAGTGTTCAAACAATTTAAGATGCTACATGTATTCTGTACTTGTAGTGTGGTGCTCATAAGAATGACATGCTGCTATTTTGGTGATTTGGTGACAAGCTGCATTGGAGAATTTGTTTCAGAAGGTAATTAACATGACTCAGGAAAAGCAGTCTTAGGAACAGTGTGATGAGGTACATCAATATTCGCAGTTGTGTCTATCAGGCTGAAGGGACACTAAAACACTATTCATTTTTAGTGATCATATTTGTCAACATACTCTGTAACCTCATGAGAAATGATAGTTGTAGAGGTTATTCACATAGCTTCTATACCATAAGGGGAACAATACACTGTCTTGAAATTGTGTAATTAATTTGAGATTTAGCAGTAGTTTAGTCATGACAAAAAGATATATAAAGCTAATAAAAATGCAGCAAATATACATATTTTAATTTCTCAAAATAAAGTATCTGTACAAGTAAATTTGCATTATAATTAAAACAATGATGCAATGTAGTTATTTACATAAAGTTATTTACACAAAGTGTTCAAAACCAAACTATGTAACAGGTGAATAATAAACTATATGAAATGAATGCAACCAGCATTCTAGTCCAGAATCAATTTACTTGGAATAGTTATAACTGTGGTAGGATGTAGTCATATGATAAATGACTTAAACCAAATAAATGAATGGTCCTGGAAAAATGAAGGAAGAATACTGAAAGATGGAAGAATAACCCACACACTACAATTATATATTTTTTTTAAAAATCTTGTTTTCTGCATTTTCAACTTCACACAAAAACCTTGCTTATTATTAAACAGTGTGAGGGCCATTATAAAAACTAAATTTAGTTCTTAGAAATAATATGAATTGGTGAATTAAATTAGATACTTTCAAAAAGGTAATATCTTTAATCCTTTTGTTATCAGCTTTCCAAATATTAACTTGAATGCTGAAAATGGTTAACTATATTTCTGCTTTCTCTCCTATGCAGCTCTTGAGTATGAAAGCTTAGATCTATAGACATTGAGAAAGTGTAGTTGTGTTAGAGACAAAGAGAGAGAAGGAAGAAAAGGGAGATTTTCTTATATATGATCTGAAAGATCTCCCCAAGCTTTCAAAAGCTGTGGGAGGAGAAGTGTTGAAAAAGAATAACTGAGTTTAATTGGATGTATTCTGAAGAATTGCAACATAAATGTCCTTAAAAGTTCACACAGAGATCTATCTTTTTCTGTGGAATTTAAGTAAACTAAATAAACTAACACCCTAAAATAGTTTATATACATAGAGCAGTTCAGAAAAGCCTTGGGAGTTAAGATTTGGTCACCAGGATGCCTAATAATTTAATGAATTACAGTGATCTAATAATTGAATTGATTATTGTCTTGTATTTGATTTCATGTATATTTTTGTGATAATTATGACATATTAGTATGAGCCATTTTGGAGTATGCAGGTAATAAGGTAATAAGATATAACAAATAAAAGATAGCTGGATTATATAATAGATGATAGCTGGATTATAGATAGATAGATGATAGATAAAATAGATAGATAAAGGTAAAGGTTGCCCTCACACATACAGTATGTGCTAGTCATTCCTGATTCTAGGGGACAGTGCTCATCTCTGTTTTAAAGTGAAAGAGCCAGTGCTGTCCGAAGACGTCTCTGTGTCATTTGACCGGCATGACTAAACTCCAAAGGCGCATGGAATGCTGTTACTGTCCCACCACAGGTGGTCCCTATTTTTCTATTTGCATTTCTTATGTGCTTTCTAACTGTAGGTTGGCAGAAGCTGGGACAAGTAACAGGAGCTTACCCTGTTACCCTGTGGCACTAGGGATTCGAACCGCTGAACTGTCGACCTTTCGATTGACAAGGTCAGTGTCTAAGCCACTGAGCTACCACATCCCTTTATAGATATAGAGATAGACAGATTATTTACATACTTTTCCTGTAAATTTTTTTCTCTGATTTTAGAATCTTAGATATGCATATTTTACATATTTCTTAAAAGTAGCAAATGTGTGAGGATATAACTTTTGATCAAAAGCTACTAAAATAGTAATGTTCATTAATATACAATTAACATCATGCAGAATAGTTTAATCGCATTATGATGTCCTCTTCTACCAACCCTACTGAGCTAGATAATTGGTCAGAATTCTTAAAAATTTAGACCCAAACACTTGGAGAGCAATTACTTCATGTAAAAAAAATCTTGATAAATTACATGAGTACATCCATGTAATTTATCAGTTTAATATGTATTCAAAAGAATACATATCTGAAAAACAAACTAAGCTAACTACTGAATCTTTGAAAATGGCACTATAGGGCACACTATGTCTGAATATTTAGCTAATGTGGCTAATTACCATTTACAGATATATTCTAGGAATTTATTTAAATTAATTCGAAAGGTTCTGAAAAATGAGTCACGAAGATTTTTATTAAATCATCTCACCAGCAAAGATGAATAAAGTTTACCCTGTGTAGGATGCTATGAAATCTTGAGAGTAAATGCTGTCCTATGAAATGGGAGATAACATCTGCTAAATTGTTTCCCAAACATGCTATATGTAAGATGAGCGTTTGCTTAGGCCCTAGGTCATTCTAGGTATCAATATTGCAGGCTTTTTCATAATGCTATAAAAAAGCAGACCAAACTTAGGCTATTTGATGGACTCAACTCAAGTAGTTAAATGGAGACATCAGGAGATAAAATAATCATCTATTTAATTCATTTAAATTTATTGCATGGAAATATGGAAAAATATCTCACTAGAACTCCACATGATTTTGGGAGCATAGTTTGGTTTGGTTCTGTTGTTAGATTTCCTTAAAAACTACTTTGCAATTTTTATAGCTATACATATCTATAAAGAACTATAATTCTGATTTATGGCTTGTGTTTATTAGTCTGATGTTTCATCTAATAAAAATTATGCTTCTTTTCTCCAAATGAAGTTTAAACAGTAAGGACTAGGTGGATTATGTAATAAACTGGAAACATTTCTTTCTCTTTCAAAAAAAAAAAAAAAAAAAAAGCCACACTTTTAACACCTGCAACTCACTTAAGAAAGTAAATGTTTCAGGCAGAGCATACTAATGCAGCAAGTGCTTGTGACTAAGATTTTAAAAATAATTTTCACAGCATTTCATATCCAAGAGTGCACCTGCTGTAGTCTTGCCTTGCTAAACTCATTGGCAATATATTTACATTCCTATTTAATTTTTTGCAGACTCTCAGCAATTCTTCTCTGTATGTATCTCAGAGCGATTAGTATGTTTTTTTCCGCAGTGTTTTATTCAAGAACCAAACTGAAAATAATTTTATAGTTTTATGATATAACAATTTATGCATATTTAAAGTGTTAATATAGTTCAGTCTTTCCACCAAAAGAAATGTTTCTGAACCACAACTCCAGAATACATCTGGAAAATAATAAGAGCAATAAATATTTTTAATCGCCTGATAGTAACATTATAGAATCAGTCTTATTTTTCACTGGTTTCTTTCTTAATTTTCTGAACAGTATTAAAAAAAATACAATGTATGATATTCAAAGATCAAAGATCAGCACAGAATTAATTATATATTATGCATAAAATGCTTTCAATAGAAAATAATATACTTTAATTTTTGAGATTTGTATGAAATAAACCTGTAAAATCGATATTATTTTGGTTATAAGACGAAAGCCATACAGAGATGCAGCTGAGAGAAAATAAAGAAGAGAAAGTATTGCAGAGAAAATAAAGAACTGCTAGGTATTGCACTTTTAATGGGAAATCTATATTCTTAAATAAGTATTATTTTTGCAAAGATTATCACAATAGTTATTAGGCAATCTTTATTAGCCAACCCTAGGTATTTTTATGTTATTTACTTTTCTATGTGGTAATATACCCTATTACGAAAGTTACCTTATTATTAGCTTTAATTTAAGGTCTATATCTTAAGAAATTTGAATATAGCAATGAACTCATTAGTTATGCTTAAAAAAAATCCAACATTTTTTTAAAAAATAAATCACATTTATGCCTTCAATATTTTATAGTATGTTTCAAGTCACTGATTCCTTTTAAATTATTTCATTATAGTTATATCATTATGCTTAATTAAAAGCACCAGTATAATATATACAGCAAAGAAGAAATTTGGGTTCATTCTAGTTCATGCATCGTGCTTTTGCTTTAACAGATGCTTTCTCTTTTTTTAGTATTAAAGTAAATGCAGTAAGCAGTGAAAACTATGTAAAACCCACTGATTTTTTTCATGAAATACGTGACATTCTCTGGAGGCAAACAGTATCTTCTATCATCCATAAAACAGAGCTACAATTGATATCATTGCTTTGCGCAGTGTTATCTCTTCTGAGACTGTTGGTAATGTTCTCTGCTAAAATCACTTTTCTTTTTTCACTAAAGGTTCTATGACCACAATGAGCTTAATATCAGTAAAGGTTCGCTAATGAATAACAGCAACCATGATTTAAATTTAACTTATAAAGGAAAAATCAAGGAATAAATTGAAACACACATTTCTGGAAAATGATTGAGAAGTTTAATTTGAGAGATGGGACACAAATAACTGCTTTCTCTCACTTATTCCATCCAAACTTGCCAATTTCTATATCTGCTCAGATGAAATAGAATTAATGAAGAGCCCGAAAAAGAATGTGATATATAAGACTACATATTCCTTCACCATAGTATCATGACTGGAGCCCCTCTGAAAAACCATAGCTAGTGTCCATAGACTCCTTCACTATTCTATCATTATCACTTCTGTAACATTCTCAAAATATGTAAACACAAAAGTGAAATACCAAATATTTGGAAAATGATTTTTGTAGCCCTTCAAAATGCAGGACTGTACACAATGATGCAGGAAAATCTAGAATAGATTCTAGTCTCCTCAGAAATCATTGATAAAATGTAACATTCAATTGAATCCATTGTACACCTTTGCTATGAGACATAGAAAATAAGAGTACCGTAACATTTTCTTTATAAGCAATGTAACAATGTCTTTTTGCCAATATATACTACTATACTGTAAATCTATTTTTGGTAATACCATTGTTTCTAAAAAATTTTAAAAAAATGAAAATAATAATTGCTAAATTTGCTAATAGTTTTTCAAATTATATTAAAAAAATTCTAGCAATATCATGAATCAAAGCTATATCAAATGTTTATACTGTAAGGGTTATTTGAACCAGATGTTTTAGAACCAATCATTAAGCTTGGATATAAACCTCAGGAGAAGGACGAACAGTTATTGTATGCTTTAGTTTACAGCACAATCTTATAGATGTTTTCTTAATCCACACCAATAATATTTATTTCCAGTTAAAAAAATATTGGATGGAAAAATAGATGTTTCACTGTGGCTTTAATGCACGATAGGTATCAAAACAACAGATTCCATACTGGGTTTCATAAGTAAAAAAGAAACTGAATGTAACTTTTCTAATGCCCTTAAAAAATTTGTGGTATTTCTCCATCAGGAACACTGCATACAAATCTGGGAGTAATATTTGTCAGAATTATCAGTTGGGAAATTTGAAATGGCAACCTCTGAGAAGTTTTGTCATGGAAATCTAGTGGAAAAAAAATCTATGGCAGTGAAAAGAACTGGACTTCCTTTGTTAAATTTCCAATTACTTCCAATTTCTTAGTCAGATAGACCTATAATAATAAGTTACACTGACAACCAAGGCAGTTAAAAATAATGCATATTGAAAATAGGAATTCATAAATATCCTGACTAATAAGCCACAGTATATAATATGCTATATGCAGCACTCCCTACTTCTCAATGATAAGATGAAGAACTTTCATTTCACCATAACTGTTCATTAGTGAAAATAAATAAATAATCAGATTCAATGTAAACTAGGTTTTAAGCAATGGGTTTTTACTGTTATAATGTATAACAGCAAAATTGTATATATAATGTATATATATACAATATATATATATATATATTTATATATATATATATATTGATAGTTTTAATATATAAGATAAGAGGAAATGAAATGAATTAAAATTATTTTTATTTAAAAATAATTAAATATAGCAGGTGTAAAAAGAATAGACAGAATAGAATAGGTGTCATTAATATTCTGATGTTTTAATCTATTTGTCTTTCTGAATAATTTCTACTTATACAAAAACTTTTCAGAATAACATATACATTATTTTCCATAATTTAAAACAATAAATGTTTTTATAAATAAATAATGTTTATCAAATGTTTTATTTTTGAAAAGTTAAGAAAGAAGTATACAAATGAATTTTACATCAAGTTTTATTCATTTTCTGAAAATCTAGAAATACTGTGCCATATTTTAGTACTTTTTTCAATCAAAATATATTGTTGGTGGAATTAGATTCATGATTTCAAGGTGTAATTTGTTGGTTATTTAAAGGATGGATAAACCAAGTAGACATGTTTTGTCAGGACTCATGAGATATTCAAATTTAGGTATCTGAATATCCAGCATCAATATGATTTCCAGGTATCACAGTCACATGGAACTAATTTGCTTTTAGCTGTATGAGTCCATATATACATAACTTCTATGGACATCTATGAATCAATAGGTAACTGTAGGAATAGCAAGACATGGACAATATTATGATAGCTATTTAATAAGGTTACATCCCCATTGTGTTACACATATTTTAAACAATTTTTAAAATTATCGTTATACAAGGAAAATGCAATTTGCCAAAACCCCAAATAATGAATAAAAACTCAAAACATAAAGAATATTGATAATAGCTCATCATCCATAAAATTCAGATACATAATACTTACAGTGTATTTCTAGGACTTGCATTGCTATCTGAGGTGTAGAGTTCAACGATTCATGATCTACTCTGCAACTTATAACTGCACCATCATCAGAACGATCTGCTCTGTAATTCATTGTGCTGCTAACGGTAAATGTTTTCCGATTTGCATCCTCTTCTTTTAAATATTTAACATCTGTAAAAATAAAGTTTGCTATAATTTAGCATCAAGGGCTGGCAATAAAAGGCAGGCGAAGGCTACAGAACACAAAATCATTTTAAAATAGCAAATAAAAAATGTACCTTTCATCATGTTTGCTTATTTTATCAAGGCAAACAAGTTCTATTTCCAGGCATTCCTTTGTCCTACAGAACTACCCATGTTGTCATTCCCAAATGTACACAGACAGATGGGAAATGCAATTTCAATAAGAACCAAAAGACAGAACTGTCAGAATGAGATTCTGCTCATTATCTTTAATATAATTAGATTGCAATCCAAATATTTTTCCCTTAAGTCTACGTTCTTTCCTCACGCCTTTTTTTCCTCCCTTTATCTATTAGTATTTCAATCATTGTCAAATTTCCTTTGTTTATCTTCTCTTTTCCTTTTCAGTATGCAAAACAATATTAAGTAACAAAACAATGGAGATCTTAAAACTAAATAATCAGCTTCAGACTAAAACCTTTATTGTACAAAAAAATACTTTGATGTAACTTGCACAGTTTTTTCATGTTATTTTCAATTCTGGATGAAAAAGCCAAATAATCTTACACTTATTAACAATGACATTTGAAACTATTATTAAGATCATTCAACATTTCTTTCTTTTTTTGTATACTTATTGATAAACATTACAGAGTTAACAATTTCTAATCAGCACTGTACAAATACCACTGCAGTTCTCCATTATGACCACAATTGAGCCCAAAATTTCTATTGCTGAGTAAACCAGTTGTTAAATGAGTTTTTTACAACCTTTCTCTCCATAGTTGTTAGGTTGTTAGGTGAATCACTGCAGTTATTAATGACACTATGCAGTTGTTAGGCTGTTAGGTGACTCATTGCAGAAGTTAGTAACACAGTGTGGGAAGAAATATTCATCTGGTTCAGTTCCAAGCTGGGAGAAAGACACTGGAAACATGGACGCTGATTGGAAAGTTGGTTTAATGATGAAGCAGAACCACATGGGTTCTGGGCAGCTGACAAAATGGAATGCGGGGTTTCTATACCTTCTTTGAGCTTTGTATTTGAGCTTCCTGTTCCTGTACAAGAATATGTATTCTATTGGCTGTTGCCAGATTCCCATGGGGCCAAGTAGGGGTTATAGGTGGGTCTATAGGCAAAGTACAAATCCTAGATAGTTGTCTGAGCTAAGTTTGGTTGAAGTTTGGACTACTCTGAGATGATGCAATGAAGGCCTTGTGTTCTGAAAGCATGTTGGGCAATTCCTATTGTGTCTTAATGACTTTCATCCTGTTTTGGCTCTTGGGTGAGGGATTTGCTTATGAATAGAGCTATCTAGATACTTCTCTTCTTTCAATAAGCTCTTTATCTTTTAAGTGCTGACATCTGCTGTGGGCTATTAATGAAAGTGGGGATTGCTTTCTGCCTCTAAAAAAACATGTTTCTCCATTTGGGAAATATAATAATCTGCCTTTTTTAATATTCCTCAAATATTTCATTCTTCTAGGAGGGTGGGTGCTGATTTTCTACAACAGTTATTAAGTTGTTAAGTGAATCTGACTTCCTTTTGACTTTGCTTGATCACATGAGCCCAAAACATTGCAACCATCATAAATATGAGTCTGTTGCCAAGTGTCTGAATTTTGATCACATGACCATAGGGATGCTGCAATGGTTATAAAAAAAATGTAAGAAGTAGGTTTATCAGAAATCTATTTATTTTAAAAAACATTTATGCAAAAAGCTATTTATTTTTCATTTGTAATTACCTTTGTAAATACCTATTGTAAGTAGCATTGCCTCATTTCTTTTCATGGTAAGCAAAATACATTAAGCGATTAAAAGGAAAATAAATTGGAATAAATAAAAGGAAAAGAAAGACCATAAAAGAAAAAGAAATTTAACTACATCAGCACTATTCACTATATTTTCTATACAATTTTGTTCTTGTAATTTACTCTATCTATCTATTCATAGATGTTCATAGATTACCTTTTGTTCTGTAAGGTATTTATTAGTTTGTGGAAAAGGAATCTCATCCAACCCACAATTTTTTTCTGTCTTTTCTTTTCTCTTAACCACATAGTAATAGAATGCATGAAGGCTAAATATTTTATATTTAATTTACCCAAGATAGAGGTGATTTTAATGAATAATTTATGGAAAATCAGTCTGTTTAGAAATAGGACATTTCCTGCATAACATACCTGTATTTTATTGTATATATGGTACAGAGTTCAATATTTTTTTTCGGTATTCAAGAGTTAATATGGCTTTAGAGAGTAGAGATGAAAATTTTCTGAAATTGTGTACTAATGTGCTTTTCTCTCTAACACTAGACCTCTGAAGTCCTAGAAGCACTTAATTTGAGATAATGCACTTAGTTAAATGTTAATCCTCCTTGGAATGCATGGCAATTAAAAACAAATGGGTATGTTTTATAAAACTAGCTTGATTCTATGCTATTTTGAATCTTTTCATTGACGAGATTAATGTGAGAGTCATTCATTCCATGGTTCATCAGCTGTTATCTAAGTCAGTTCCCACCAGCTGAAGTGACATGACTCTTTTGTACTATGTGATTATAATAAAAACAACTTCTACAGTTATGTGCTGCTCTTTTGAATCTATCTGAAATAGGCAGTGTTCTATATTTCTGTATTATGTATTTCTTTGCTCCATAAAAGTGTAATCTGAATTTTTGAAACTTGGATTTTCTATCCATAGCACTTGTTATTCCATAATGTTAATAATTGTTAGCTTTTCTCAGCTGTGCATAAACATCTTTGGAAGAAAAACATACAGTTTTCAAGAAATGATAAAATATGCAGTCAAAGTATGGAATAACTTTTATGTATATAAATTATGGATGTCATGATGCATTTATTGTCTAAAAAAAGCTTCCTTGCAGCATTTTGGATAATAGAAGAGTGAAACTTCAGGAACAAAAAGTATTGGATTTGAATGTCCTCAAAACTTTATTCAAAATAAGCAAAGGAAGAAAGTTGTTTCAGTTTTATAAATTTCATTAATTCTCATTTGACGAATTTGATTATAATCTTTTGAGAATTGAATACATAATTTAAATACATAAATAACAATTTATGAAAAATCAGTGCGGAAAAATAATACTCAGTTTGATATGATCAATTGTTAAGCATGGCTATAGGTTATGATCTGTAAAATTCAGATGATAAATAGCAGCAAAGACTCTTGAACCAGAGATGTGGTATGATTGTGTAGTATAGGACAAAGCCAAACTATTTAAAGGACATGTTCATAAATGTTAGAAAATTGAAATTATAAAACCAGTACAGAGATATCCTTTCCTACTGAAACTCATCTTGTGATAGGAAAGGAGACTAATAACTGTTGTGACACTCATACCCAAGTCAGTGCCATGTCAGTAAATATATCATGATTATGAAACAAGATCTTAGGAAAATATAGACCTGCTAGATATCTAGAGTCTAGATATTTCTTCCAGATGTTTCAAAGAGTTTGAATACTTGGCTAATTTACGAAAGTACACACAATTCACAGCTTCTCTGAAATAAATAGGAACACTTATTCTATCAGAGGCACTAATGCTACTTGCAAAAATCCATGAATTGATTTAGTAAAAAAAAAAGAAAAAGAAAGAAATCATACAAATTCATGGAGTCCATTAATATTGAAGTGAAAATTCTCGAGGGGAAAAAAATAATATAAAAAAGATGCAAGGAAAAAAAATCACCAAAGATTTTCAAAAGTCCAGATTACTTATTGCTTCTTTGAGATTGAAGCCCTTTACTAATTTACCTATACTGAATAAGTCTGATTTAGAGTATTTTTTAATACCTGCCTTTTCCAAGAAGACTCTTCTCTGTTAATTATCCATAACCATGGTAAAGTATACTATTCAGATTACAGAAAGTCATAAAAGGCAGAAAAGGAGTGAGAAATGATAAGACAATGAAATTAAAATTATGAAATGAGAAAAAGTAAAGGCATCATAGCTATAATTATATTACCACTTTATCTCTTTATATTATTTTATCCTTGTAAACCAGTTTTCCTTCACCATTTTTCTACACAGCTTCAAATTTTTTTTATTTTTTATTTTTTGTATTTCATCAAATCTTTCCAACTATGCCTTTTTAGGGTTTCCCTTTCTATCAACATTGTAACTTGAAGTTTGAAGTTTTGAAGTTTATTAGATTTCTATACCGCCCTTCTCCCGAAGGACTCAGGGCGGTGTACAGACATATTAAAACACATAGATTTATAAAATTTAAAACCAAATTAAAATCAATATATAAAATTGGCCCACAAATTAAAACACACATACACCCCTAATAAAATTCGTATTAGGCCAGTCTGGCTTGCTGGAACAAGAGGGTCTTAAGGGCGCGGTGAAAAGTATGCAGGTCGGGGCTAAAACAGAGTTCTAGGGGCAGTCATTCCAGAGGGCTGGTGCCCCCACAGAAAAGGCTCTCCCCCTGGGTGTCGCCAGTCAGCATTGTTTGGCCGATGGCACCCTGAGGAGCCCCTCTCTGTGGGAGCATATTGGCCGGTGGGAGGTTGTTGATGGCAGAAGGCGGTCTCGTATATACCCCGGTCCTAAGCCATGGAGCACTTTAAAGGTGGTGACCAAAACCTTGAATCGCACCTGGAAGACCACTGGGAGCCAGTGCAGCTCGCGCACTCACATTCTTTATATATTAGTTTTTAAATTTCACTCTTTCTGAATTTTCTCTATAAAACAAAATTATGTGCATGTGTTTACTTCATTATATTTTGTACTCAGTTTATATATATTTAGCACCCAAACATTCTTGACTCTATCTGTTCTTGTTACATCATAGACACTATGATTTATAATACTATACATTATAGTATTTTAATTCTAGATTCAAGTATTTTTTTTCTATATATTTTGTTTAACTTTTATTTTCAACTACTTCTAGGGTTATTCCTTTCTGAACTGTTCGTGTTCTTCCGCTCTTCTTCACTAAGATTATTTAAAGTCACTTGTGTGGCTTCATTTGACTGTTAAGGGATGGAAAGTTGGTGTTTCTTCCAGGGATCTACTGTAGTTCATCTGTGGTGGTGGTGATGATGATGTCTTAATTGCTGCTACTTTTTTTCTTCTGCTTGGCTTTTTGACACTCAGCTCTTTGTCACTGGCTCTCTCATAACTGGTACATCTCTTAATGACTTCTGTAGATCAGTTATGCCAGTTATGCCATCATTAGGCTGCTGCAGATTGTGTGAGTGAATAGATACTTAGATCTAGAAAGGCCTTTTTACTGGTCCATTTGGGATTTCAACACCTCCTTTCCAATCCACAAACAACTTGGCATCTCAGTTCAGCTTCTTGCCATCAATATATATTTACAGCACTTTGTTGATTCTGTTCATGTGACCCACTTATTCACACCAACTCTTCTCCTCTGCAGTCGTCCAGAGGACTTGGGACTTCTTACTCATCTCATTATATCTAATTTCTTGATCCTTCTCTCTTATAATTTCTTCGCAACTCATATTTTTATTTCTTCTTGGGCCTTCCTTCGTTTTTTTTTCTCCTTCAGGATTCCACACTTCTTTTCTTCACCACCCACACAGTTTCTTTAACTGGACTCCTGTTTAAAAGGTCAACACAATACATAAGGGATAGGTAGGGCCTTAAAAAGAAATCAGAGAGGGAGGAGCATAGGTGTTCTTTTGGTTTTGTCTCCTTCCTTTCACAACTAACAGTTGCACATCTTAAAATTTATTTTATTACTATATTGTTAGTAGATGCTTTATCAAGGAACACAATTTTATCTACTTAATGTAGTTTTTCCCACTATTTATATATGATTTATATTTTAAGTATCAAACATAACTACTTTGAGCTGAGATACAGGAATTTTCAAATACATGCTGCTTTTATCATATAGTCTATAATTCAGTTTCTTAGCCACCAACAGATTATTTGTTTTTGATGTACATACTGCATTTACATTTATGTCCCAAATGACTTTAATGCTACCAGTCATTTATTGTTCATTTATTCTTAACTATATAAAGAAATGAAAGTAATTCACACATTTTTCCTTAGTCTGTTAATGTCGAGTTCACTACTACTTATTGTTTATTCTTGTGACTTCTTTAGTTTCATTACATACTGTTCCTATTGAATTGAGCACCCAGTGTTCTATTATATATGCATACAAAATATGAAGTACAAAATATAATTTCTCTAAATAAACAGATTTATTCAAACAAAATTCTGGCCTGGACATGCCAACACAGAGTTTCATTATAGTTTTTCCAGAATTTGCTCATTGTTGCCTCTTATACTCTTAATCAGAATTCTTGTAATTATAAAAAAATGAGCTTGACTGGTGTCAAAAAAGAGTTGGACCAATGAATGAAACTCAAGAAGATCAAAAGTTATTAGTCTGGATGGCAGCATGATTATCTTTGAAGAGCATCTGCTGAGAGACTAGTAGGCTTCCTAGTCCAGTTGGTTGATCCCTGTGAAAACAGACTGTTGAACTCAGTGGTGAGCTGCAAATTTTTTAACAACCGGTTCTCTGCCCTGATGACTGGCAGGGTGGGCGTGGCTGGGTTGGCATGGCCAACTCAATGTCACTTACGTCGAGGAGTGCTTCGCCTTGCCTGCCCTCTCATGACCGTGGGGCTGCTGCAATGGTCATGTGAAAAATGGTCAAAAGTCACTTTTTTCAGTGCCCTTGTAACTTTGAATGGTCACTAAATGAACTATTGTAAGTCAAGGATTACCTGTACAAAAATACAAAAAACTTCTTCGCTTGCAAAAAGCTGCCCTAAATACTAGTCATTAGATTAGAAATGGGTGAATACACACTGACGATCAATAAGTCATAGCCATCATGGAAACCTAAACCATTCTGTCTGAATACCTTCCTTTTTCTCAGCAATACCTGCAACCCAGAGTTACAAATCAGGCAGGTTGCCAGAGCACATTGAGGAATTAAAATAGTTAAAATACAAGCAGCCAAGTTACTCTTGCTCATAAAGTGAAACTCTTTAGCAGAGAGGTCATTTAAGCTCTCCAGAAAGTGGGTAGGCATATTTGGTGTACAAAATGCCGAGCTAAAGAGACAAATTAACAAATTAACATCTTCAGTGAGGGCTAATTCCATTCTGCCTTTATTCAAACCTTGCTGCGGAGAATTTTTGCTTATGATTATAGCTATCTATCTCTTTTCTCTTAAGTGCTGACATTTTCTGTGGGCTATTAAGGAAGGTGGGGGATGCTTTCTCCCTCTAAGAAAACATGTTTCTCCATTTCTCATTCAGGGAAATATATTATTCCTTTTTAATATTTCTCAAAATATTTCATTTTTCTAGGAGAGGGGTGGCTACTAACTTTCTGCAATTGGTGCCATGTTACTATGCCACATTATCATGAGAGAAAACTAAAACAAATTGGAAGGAGGATTCACTTATTATCAGTGAGCAATCATGTGCCTTGCCCACTCCAAAGCAATGCAAGAGACTCCTGTCCCAAAGGTGCTTTTTCAAGAGGCAACTGGACTTTCTGGAAACCAAGAAAGTCCAGTTGTCTCTTGAAAAAAACACCTTTGGGACAAACATGACCTGGATGACTGAAGAATCCCCATAGACAAGAGACTCCTGTGCTCAGTGAACTAACGAAGTACAGTTTCCCACCCAGGAGAACCAATCATTAGATCCATTTGCACTACTTAAAGATACCAGCTTGTTTCATTCACGTCACAAGATATCCTGAGGTAATCATCCAGATTTAAGGAAAGACCACATGCCCCCAGTAAGGCAGTAAAAAAATTAACCAGAATGCCAAGCTTGCATCCTGCCTCTCAGGATTTTTTTCTATGGTTATGTCAACCCTTCTGTAAATAGCTCTTCTTTAACAATCTTTAAGAAAGTCAAGCCCCAGGAATAAAAGTACGACAAAAACCTCTGAGTGGGGGGGGGAGCCTCTGGAGAAACTCAGCCTACAGACAGAAAGTCTGGCCGTAAGGCTTACAATGTAACAAGCTTAACCCAGAAGCAGTTTCTAGGAAAATTAAAATAAGGATTAGGCTAGAAATACAGGATACCAGAATGTTTCTTTCCTGCCTCTCTTGAAGGATTAGCCCTGTATAGTGGGAAAAGATTTCTTCCAACAACCAGTTCTCCAAACTACTCAGAAAATTAACATCCGGTTCAGGAGAACCGGTGAGAATAGGTAGCAGCCCACCTCTGGCTGAACTCATGAACCAGAAGTTTGATACAACAGGACACTGCTTATTTTCTTATGTTCCTGCTATTTTTGTCAAATATTAATCCTGATCATTCTCCTACACCTTCCACCCTTTGGAGTTTGGAATAACTATAAATATGCCAAAGAGATGGTGAGATTGCAGCAGTGTGATGATGTTTTCAACAGATACATCAGTCCAAAAGTAAATCAGTTTTATATAATAGTGTGATGATGTTTTCAACATACACACCAGTCCACAAGCAAATCAGTTCTATAACATTTCTCCAGTCGTATCATCTACCTCTCATCCTTACAATTTTTCAACATTCTTACAGTATCTTCTTTTTCATCATTATTTTTCTCTTAGACAATAACATTGGTCTAAACAGTTTACAATTTGATATAAAATATTCTTTCCAACAAATTATTTCACCACATTTAGTTTCTAATTCTAGTCTTTTAATGTTATTTTCTGCTTTTGACTATAGTCTTTCCAACTATCTTTTTCTCATCCTCAATTTTAGCAGCAATCATTCTCTTACTTGCTCTTCCCCTTCTGTCCACAGTCTCCTTCACTTCAACTTTCCATCAAACATCTTTCCCAATAACATAATGCCATTTGTTAGTGGAACTCTAAAACATATTATTTTCAAACTGTTCCAAGCAGATTCAACATTATTTCTTATTTCTACTGTCCATTTGTCCAGTTGGGAATCATATTATTTTTTATAAAGGACTTACACTTTTTTCTTGCAGTCATTGTATTTTCACTTATTTTTTTTTCACTTTACTTCCCTCCCTCTCAACCACTATTGTCAATAGCAAAACATAATATATCCTATATGTAGAACTTCATATCACTCTTGTATCCTTCACTAGCCTGTCTTTCATTGAAAACAATAACAAAATCATGTTTTACAGACATATTAATTCTAATCCAGCTCACCCTAGGAAATGATCCACACCTATATTAATAAATTGCTAAAAATATAACTAACTGGGATGGGTAGAGGTGGAACAGGTATATTTTGATTTTTCAGGAAAAAGTAGAAAGAAAGAATGGGCTAATGGTCCCATCCGGGAGTGGAGAATGCCACTATATCACTAGTATACAGAACAAAAAAATAGATAATGTTGATAAGCAGAATCTCTCCTGATTAGTTAACAGTTGTTTATTATAAATCAAATATACAATTCCGAACAATACCTTTCACTTCTTTGTCATTTTTGAACCATCTAATATCTGCAGCTGGCTTACTACCAGATGTTTTGCAAGTAAGTTCCATCCAATCTCCTTCCATAATTGGTGAAATAAATCCACTAATTTGAGGAGTCTCTGGAACACCTAATAAAAGATAAACAAATGAATTACAGTTTTGCTAATAGTTTGTTTAAGGTTTTTTTTCAAACAGTGGGGAAAGTAAAATAGTAGTAATCATTAGAAAAATTGCTTTAGTAATAACACAGCAGGGAATGAATAATAAATACATTAATTTATATATCAATTATAGGTTTATCACATAACTTAGTCTCCCAAATCAAATACAGAAGATGAACTTTGAAAATATATATAAGTGAAAACTAAACTTTCTTTTTAGTTTTGAACCAATTATTCAATTTCAGGATTTGAGCAATTCATGCTGTGAAGACAACAAACATATTCATTAAAACATTTTTCTTCAGTAAAATAACTGTTTGAACACAAACTGTCGAGAATGGACATGACATTTTTAACAATGAGAAAAGAGCCATTGATTAAAACCAAATCATATTTATTCCAATTAATAAGTTAATATTAAACTGAATAATAAACTTCAGCATATCACTGAGTCTTTTATTTAGACCAGTGTGATTTTTGATTAAACCACATGGTGATCACTTATATAATTTATCCTATGAAAATTATAAATTCATTGGAAATCAATTCACTATATTAAATTGAACTCAGAGGATAGTTGCAGGTCTGAACGTTTATGCATTATAGTAGACAATGAAGTGCAGAAAGTAGATGAGGTGCTGGTCTTGGTGCAGGAAACAGCACATCAAGCAGAGTCCAGCAATTTCATTTTTTTTCACTTTGTCAACAATTTCAATTATAGTAAAATTCACCCCTTGCCTTCTTCCAGTTGTGTTCTAGGCATCTCTTGATTGGTTCAACACCCTCAATTTTTCTGTAAAACACAGGAAGTGTTGGGAATGATGTCTTGGTCCATATTCCAGGCAGTGATTAAGAACTCTGTAGGACTGTGTAGCAGAGCTTCAGGTAGGAAAAAAATATTCATGCTGACCTCTCCAAAATATTTCATATTATTGGATGGAACTCAGATGAGGAAGAAAAGAGGAATGGAGTACAAAGGGGAGTTGAAAAGTAGAATGGAGACTTTACTATTGATTTGTCCCTATAAATGAATCAGTCTATTTGTGGTTCATTTTTACATACTGTACTTTTCATAACTGCATTTATCCTATGTCACCATCAAATTGTAGTTTAAAAAGAAATCAACATCAAAATTTGTATTTAAATAAGTATATAAAACACCACCATCACCACCACCATCATCATTTTAGCCATTGTCTATCCCCTGCAGGATGAAGGCCTCTTCTGCATGTTTCCAACCTAGATGATCCTGAACTTCCTTTTGCCAAATGGGCCCATAAGTTTTAGGTCTCTTTTGTGAATGCTTTTTATCAAGCGGGATCTATTCTATGACTGCCTTGGTCCTTTTTGCCATCAGTTCTTTTTGCTATGTATCCAGCCCATTTCCATTTCAATTCTTTTACTCTCTTGATGATATTGTATACTTTGTTTGTTCTCTAATCCATGTGCACATCTTTCTATCTTGTTTTATAATGCTGAGCATGTATCTTTCCATGGCTCTTTGCACTACTCATAGCTTTTGTATCTATTGTGAGGTTAGTGTCCATATTTCACTGGTATATGTTAGAGCAGGTAGCACACGCTGATTGAAAAGTTTTCTTTTCAGGCATAAGGGGAGGCTGTTCTTGAAAATTATGCTTAGTATGCCAAAGGTCTGCCAACCACATTTAACACGCCATTCAATTTCCTTTATTGTATCACCTTCCACTGACATCTGTTGGCCAAGGTATATGTAGTGCTATTATTATATTTGGTTCTAATTAAGAGCTTGCAAAGGAAAGAGGAAGAGAAAAAGCTGAAGAAGCAGACGTAATAATTTAATAATATAAAACAGGACCAATTTTTTTTCATAGTTCTGCTAAGAAACTGTTAGAGAAATTTCCCTCAACATATAGAAATGACTGTAAACTTCTGTTTTGCATGACATATAGATGTTATCTCATTCCAGAATACTAGTATTATATATTCTAATGTTCTTGATTTAAAGAAAATCAATTGTCTAGATATTCATCATTCATTAAATGAGCAGCCATTTTTCTATTAAGTTGATCCTTATGAATTCTTAATTTTAAACACAGTCAGCTCCATACATCATATTTCATCATTTATTATTATCAATTCTATATTCAAAAGCCAGCTGTTGCACATTATTGCCAACAGCTCACACTGAAAGGTCAGACTTAAGTAAGTATACTGAATTATGTGAAGCTATTGCTTATTGACTTTCATTTCAAACATAGGACAGATTATGTGTTATGCATTGTTATAACAAATAATGTTGGACATCTGCTTCAACAGTTTCCCAACCACGGCTTAGAATCTGCTAGTTAATTATGCTGGACTATTTCTTTTCAGGTTTCTTATTTTTCTAGTAAATCTGGCAGCAATTTTGCAAATGTATTGCTTGTTGGAAATTAAATGGATATAGTGAAGCAAAAGAATGAAAATCATTTCCATCAAGAGAGAAAGAAAGGAAAAATGTTTTATATGGAGTGAATAAAGAAGAGCATAACATATAGCAGAAGGAAGCTCAGTTGTCTGTTGGGACTTTTGTCATCTCCCCTATTTGAACTGCTATCTGACTCCTGGCTCCTCTCACACCGTAAAGTGCTACATCTTATCTTTTCACCCCTATTACTGCCTTATTGGTCTCGTTGTATTGGTCAGAGTTATGGAGTTACAGACTGATGAACTATGAATCCTGGTGGACTGCTGCTGCATCATGTTCCTAGGAACTGCTCTATGACTCCGCCGGTGGATGTTCCCCACCTAGTCACCGTGAGAGGGTGGCTGCGGCTGGTTCTGTGGGACTCATTCGTTGCAGCCTTGGATTCTCCACCGCTGTGAGAGAGCGGTGGTTATGCCGGCCTGGGTTGACTCCTATTTTACCATCATTATCCCTCTTGTTTCTCATCTTGGTTTCCTGTTGCTATTTTCCATCCACTTCTCATATTTATTATGGCTTACACTTCAGCGACCCTCCTTGCTCTGCGAGATGCCCCCCTCTCGCAGACATGGCCTTCGAATTTATCGAAGGCCTACCTCAAGGACGGGTTTTGGAACCCCGAGTGGTGGCATGCTTCTAAGCGTGGTTTGAGGGGTTTTTTAATTAATGTTTTTAATCAAATTTTAAGGGGCCCCGGGAGGCGGGTGGTAAGGGTTGAGCCGGGGGTGGCTCTTACGGTTCAGCAATTGGGCCCGTCGGATGGTTGTGGGGGGAGGGAGGGAGGAGGAGGGAACAAAGAGGCTCAGCGGAGAGAGGGTCTTCCAATCCTTGTGACAGTTGGGAGACGCAGAGGTCGGGAGAGGGGGGGGCTAGGAGGGCGCCGCCGCTTCGTTCAAGCGGTGGCGCCCTCCTGCCCCCTCAGCTCATCCTGCTCCCCCGACGGCGACAGAGTGCGGAGCCCTGGACTCCGACTGGTGTACTTAAATGCCAGGTCCGTGGTGAACAAGACACTCCTCGTCCGAGATCTTATAGACGAGGAGGACGCGGACCTGGCTTGTATCACTGAGACCTGGCTGGGGCCGGAGGGCGGTGTCCCTCTCGTGGATTTGTGTCCCCCAGGTTTCCGAATACTACACCAGCCACGACTCCAGGGGAGGGGCGGAGGAGTGGCGGTAGTTATTAAGGAAAGTCTTAGGCCTAGGGAGGTCACTGTTCCTCAGGTTGGCGGGTGTGAATTCCTCCTTTTGAAATGGGACCCTGGAGTTCAGTCTGGGCTGTTGATCACGTACCTCTCCCCCAGCTGCGTGGCCTCAGCCCTGCCCGCACTACTAGATGTCTTAGCCGAATTGACGGTGGAACTCCCCAACCTTTTGGTTGTGGGAGATTTCAATCTGCCATCGGCCGGTGAGTCATCTGAGTTGGTGCGGGAGTTCATGACCTCCATGACGGCCATGGACCTGACTCAGATTGTACAGGGCCCAACTCATATTGGAGGACACACACTCGACCTTATTTTTCTCTCTGGACAGTGGATAAATGATCGTGGGGAGGGGACTCTATCTATTGACCCTCTGTCATGGACCGATCATTCCCTCCTTAGACTCGACTTTTCCTCCGCCATCCCCCGTCGCAGGGGTGTGGAACCAGTAAGATGGTTCCGCCCCAGGCGCCTGATGGAACCCGAAAGTTTCCTGATGGAGCTTGGGTCATTTCCCGCCTCCTTAGCCCACGATTCATCTGAGACCCTTGTTGCGGCCTGGGAACAGGCTGCGGTGGGGGCCCTGGATCGAATCGCGCCTTTGCGGCCTCTGATCCGACGCAGATCCCGGGCGGCTCCTTGGTTTACCGCGGAGCTCAGGGAAATGAAGCGTCGGAAAAGACGCCTGGAGGGTGGTTGGAGATCCTCCCGATCCGAGTCCGACCGAACACAACTAAGAACCCATATTAGGTCTTATCTTGTGGCGATGGAAGTGGCGAAACGTAACTATTTCGCCACTCTCATTGCATCTGCAGAAAATCGCCCAGCAGCCCTGTTTAGAGTGACCCGCTCCCTCCTTAATCAGGGAGTGAGGGAGGACCCCTTACAGGGCCGTGCTGAGGACTTTGCACAGTTTCTGCAAGATAAAATCACTCAGATTCGGACCGGGTTGGACTCCGACTGGACAGAGTCCGTTGAGGTGACAGGGCCTAGTCTCGGTGGAGACATCTGGGTTGAGTTTGAGCCTGTTTCATTGGATGACGTGGACAGGATTATGGGTAGGCTGGGGTCTTCCACATGTTTACTGGACCCTTGTCCCTCCTGGCTTGTTTCGGCAGCCAGGGAGGTGACTGGAGACTGGATCCAGGCTATTGTCAACGCTTCACTAAAGGAAGGGGTCTTTCCCGCTGCGCTTAAAGAGGCGGTGGTTCGACCCCTCCTTAAGAAGCCTAACCTGGATCCAGACGTACTTAACAACTACCGTCCAGTCTCCAACCTTCGCTTTTTAGCGAAGGTTGTTGAGTCCGTGGTGGCACAGCAATT